TATTGTGCTGAGTCAGCAGAAAGTTGAATTAATATTTAGTAGATGTATTTGGAAATAGAACAGCGTGTTTTTCATTAAAAATTGTTTGTGACTTATAGATCCTGGCACACAGCGGTCAGCTTCATATCCAGAAAATTTATTAGGGAACCTTTTCTCTACCAAATGTCAAATGAAGCAATCGTCTGAAAAGCTCATTGTGGGTCCAGCATTCATAAAAAACGGGAATGGAGCTACAGGGATGAAAATAACAGCAAGAGAGAGCTGAGGACAGGTGATTCACAACCTAAAAATGCTTTCTAAAAAGAGACCTTCCCCTTTCCACAGCAGGGTTCACCTACAGCCTGCTGTGAAACAGCAAGGGTAGTGAAAACAAGGGAGGGTTGGAAAGGCCTCAGCAAGCCGGCAGTAGGAGTCATGCCCTTATGTTCTCAGGGGTAGACTCTGTTAGGACACAAGCCCCATTCACATTAATTAGTAAGTGAGAGAGGCTGACTGATCACATGGAAGCCATCAAATCTCTCCTTTACAAACTCTGTGGTTTTAGAAAAGTAACCAAGGTTTATGTTGTAGAGGGTTGAGAATTGTGTGGGTTTTCTTGGGTGGAGGAGGGGAGACTTTATACACTATGATTATAAAAGCATATTTCAGTATATACGGTTTCCTATTAAAATTACAGGCAGATTTTTCTCTCCCGATTATTCAACTGCATTAGCAAATGTGAAAAAAAAAATGTGAACTTGGATCAGATAAGAGGAATCGGGAGTTCGGAATGCATCTGCTCTTTGCCAAAGCCGTATTTCATTACTTTTCAGAATTAGCTGGCAATGTCTCCACAATATTTACTGAAGTGCAAACCAAATGTTTTCATCTGGACAAAAATCAAACTGTGGTATGTTACAACCACAACAGAAATCATTTTAATCCAAAAGCTTGCTTTCTCTAATTTAGGCTGTGGTTTCTATAAAATTGGATTCTTCTCTATGAATCATGTACACAGACAAGGCCTCCTTCCCATTATCTTCCCTCCTGCGACCAGTTCTTGATCTTAACAAGCCAAACATAGCTCCGGTCTATTTTGGAAAGACCCTGAAGGGATTCCCTGTGGCTGTCATTTAGCTGGGGAGTCAAAGTTTGTTGCTTGACCCAATTAGCATGGGATTGGCCCACTGAGTTTGCATTTCTCATGATTCATCTTTAGGATACACAAACAGAATGAAGAGTAATCAGCCCCTACCAGGATATTAAATTAAGAAACAAAA